GCATCTGCTTCTAGTTATTTCAAGAAAGGCGGGGTTGGTTGGGGGTGGGGGTGGGTGGGTAAGGGATTCTTATCAGCCCAGGTGGGCGGAGCTAGATGCCAGGAAAGCAGGACTGGTCTTGCAGCATAAACTTCCTAACAGAGTCACCCAACCACAGGCTGGCTTTATTCGAGAGGCAGTCAGTTCCCCATTGCTAGAAGTAAGCAAGCACATTCTGGAGAAATAATCAGAAGATCTAAGGCTCCGATTAAGGGTGACGTTAAAAGCCCCATCGAAGCCAGAGCTTCTGCAGTTGGGCAGAGCTCTGTGGGCATGAAGTGCAGCTGTGCTAACTGCTCCCCTCATGGATGGATGCCCGCAGCCGTTTTCCCCACCCCCGAGGCCACGACTTGGCCTCTCTTGGCTTCACCTCCCTAAATAAGGGATTCCTTATTGGATACTGGATATGGTCCCTGGAAGGCCCAGGGCTGCTTCTGAGGCCAGGCAAGGAGGTGGGGGGGGCGCCCTATGGACCACAGTCTCTTTCCAAGCAAAGCCCTGTCCACCCTCCTCGCTCCCATGGTGTGAACCCGGCCCAGCAGGCTCGAGCAGGACACGGGCTCCTGGAACAGGTTAGAAACATGGGCTGGCAGTTCCGCTCAGAGAGGCCCACATCAACGCGGCCCTGCCCCCTGTAGGATTTCCTACAGCGGTCCTTCAAGAAAGCGCACTCCCACTGGAGGGGCACTTCCTATTTCAGCCTATTTCCTAGTTCTATTTCTGGAAGGCAAGAAGAGCCCCTACTTGAGCAAAGCACTTGGCTCTTGGGAAGTTATTTTTAATACAGATTTGAAAAAGCCAAAAGAAAAAGAGAAGGACACCGAAAGTAGCTGTGTAAAAACCTGGGATTTGAAGACCTTCTGGAATGTTCCTTGTCCTCCTTTGGTCCATGCTGGTTCAGGGGAGGACAGTGCTCTGAGAGGCAGGCAGCTGAAGTCAGGGCTGCTCACAGAGCAGTGGGGGACCTGAGCCACCCCCCCCAGTGACCTACGTCTCCCTAAGCACCCCTCATCCTCCAGAAGAGTCTCGCCAAGAGTTCTCGGCCTGAGTTATTTAGAAGTTTGTTCACCTTTTCATTTTCCAGGGAGCCTCACCTCAGCTGGTAGGACAGGTTTTTCTACTCTGAGGAGTGTCAGACGCCAAAGAATGTGTCTCATGGTGTATTTGTTCACACAGATTGCCCAGCAGCCCCGGCCCCCTATCTCACTGACCCTCGTTCTATCAACTCATGCTCTCTGCTCATCCAAGCTTTCTAAATGTTCCTCTTGTACAGCAGGCCAGCTGACTGCTGACGGTGCCAATAAGGTTGCAACGTGCCTTCCTGGGACACAACTGTGCCGCACAAACACAGGACAGGCCCACCCAGACCCCCTGGCCCCGCTCGGCAACTGGTGAAGTGCTTGCACCTTCGCGGGCTTTGGAAGGGCTAGCCATTCTAAGCACGCACAAGGTGAGTTATCTGAGCAAAACAGGTATGGGCGTAAGAAACACACCTGGTACGCATGGGTACGCAAACAAAATGCCATCACCCAAAAAGCCCAAGGTAAAACATGAGTTCTTCCCTGATTTTCATTAACGTTTGGATCTTTTTCTAAACTATGTTTGGAAGCCTAATAATAACTTTATCGTTTCCAAAGCATGTCGTCTTCCAAGCATTGTTAAAAAGAGAGAGCTTCTAAAAGTGAGAGAGAGAGCTGTTCCTACATTGGCTATAATTTGAGTCTTATCGGTTTGCTTCCTGGCAGTCAATTTTCCTTTGGTGGTGCTGGGCATTGGGTGTGTGCTAAGCTTCCCAGGGGTGAGGTGGGTGGATGCGGGTGGTGGAAGGGGAAGCAGGGCTCCCTGGGATCCCAGGAGGTCTGGGGAGAGGGTGAGCAGAACAAATCTGGCTCATCTGCTGGGGTCACAGCCCAGACGGTGGGTGCAAATATTCCTCCATTGGCTCCAGAAAGAAATGAGGAGATAAGAGGCCAGTTGGAGCAACGTTGGCCTTAAAAGTGAGCACTGAGGTGTGCCAGTTAGATCGTAATCACCAAACATCAGTATTTAAAGAGGCAACACTTTTAAAAATAAATTGCAGTGTTATTCTTCCAATTGCAAATGTAATGCAAAACAAAACAAAACAAAACAAAAAAGGAACACATGCTCAGTGTAGAAAACATAAACCCTACAGATGAGCAAAGAGCAGTGTAATCTCCATGTGACTGTGTTACCCTCTGAATGTGCCCTGCCCCCAGGCTGTGTTCTTGGTGTGTAGATTTGTATTTTGTGAAAATAAAATCCAAACATGGGATGTTTTTAAAATTGGGCCTGCAGAGCTTTGGGGTCAAGGTGAAGGCCAGCGGGTGGGACTCACCAACCCTACCTCTCACGACTGCTCATCAAAGCAACTCCACTGTTAACTGCTACATATGCTCCAGGTAGGAATTGATGCAGGCCACTTAAACAAATAAATAACAATATATAAATATGACACATTATGTTTTTCAAAGGGTTGAAGCCCACTAACTCCCATCATGGCAGATGGAAGGACAGGCACCGGTCCTTCACCTCTGTCTGCATCCACAGCCTGGCCATGGCCACCCCGTGGAGGGAGCGCTTCATTTGGGGGGCCCCCATGTGACTTGCTTTGGCCAAGGGCAACAGCACGCCATTCTGGGCCTCGGCCTTAAGAGACCTGGTGTGTTTCTGCTTTCTCCACTTGCAGCTCTGCTGCTGGCGGGGGGAGAATGTCATTGACAGTCACGCTCATCACTCTAGCTAACACGCAGTCAGCAGTGGTTCCTTAACCTGGAGGCAGAGGTGACAGGTCTGTTCATTGTCCATTGGCCCAGGTCCCAAGGATCTGTAAGACTCAATGGGGATCCCTGGGCCCCTCAGAAAGCCATCATCTCGGCCTTGCAACTCTGTAGGTAGACCAGAACGTCAGCATGACCTGGGAGCCTATCAGAAACACAGAATCTCGGTGTCCCTGGACCTACACAGTGAGAATCTGCATTTCACCAAGATCCCCAGGGGACTTGAGTATATATTGCAATCTGAGAAGTTTTGTTCTAAGGGACCCAAACATTTTAGACCAGTTGATTCTCAGCCCCAGCTGCACATTAGAATCATGGGAAGGGGGTGGAAAAGTTTTTAAAAATGCCCATGCCTGCCCTTCCCCCAAAACGCTGCTCCAGTGAGCTTAGGGGGTGCCTGGCATTGGTAGTATAGACACTCCCATTGTTTCTGGGGGCCAGGGTAGAGACCTACTCATTTAGATCACCAACTCTTGACGAGGAAGGGGACAGGGCAGATCCTCTGGGGCTTTTTCAGCTGACACAGGCACCCACCCAGTAAGCCCCAACATCACCATCCTACCCTCATTCCTCAGGATTGCTAAGAGGAGAGACAGGTGGAATAACGGAGCTGGAAAGGACTGGAAAGTAGAGGCACTACTCAAAAGCCGGATAACATGTTCTACCACAGGTCACCTTCATCTCAGGCTAATAAGGCAAGGCCTTTCTAATGAGTAACAGAAAAAAGACATATGTCTGTTAAGAGAGAAATAACTTTTCAAAAGATGCAAGTTGAACGTTCTGAGAACATTTAGTGCTGGGCAATGCCGAGAAACAAACTCTTTTCCCATTTCATAATTTGATTTATGTGCAAAGCAATCTTCCAGAAACATCACCCTAATTAGCTTTGGGGCATTTTCAACGGAGGGAGACACGCAAGTTCCTGAACAAAGTGTCTGCTGAGCCAGGTGCAATGCTGCATCGCTAACTTCATGGAGGGTACAAACACCCTGGCCCTCTCAAACACAACATACGGGCCCTCTCAAACCCCACACGATGGCCTAGACTCTATGGGCGAGAATTCTAGAGTGAAGACACGGTTCAAATAGCAGTTCTGCCTTTTACAAATTGCTGACCTTCACCGAGTTTCTACGCATCTTTTACTCTCAAGTTCCTCAGCGATAAAGTGGGGATAAATGACCATTTTCTAGGTCGTTGTGAGGATTAAATGAGATGATTTCCTAAAGCACTGAATCCAGTGCCTGGTATGCACTCAGGGCTTAACAAATATTTATCATTAACAACAGTGTCAATGCCATCTTAACTTGTGTTAAAAGTGGTACAACTCTAGCGGAAATCTGGCAATACATAGAAAGAGGCTTAAAAGTGTTCAAACCTAATAATCCCACTTCTATAAATATATTTTATGGAAACAGTCTCAAAACCATGCATAAAAAGATGGGAATGGGATGTTTTTGGTAAGAGTCAGCAACTAGAAGCAACCTGAACATTCCCACACATCCAACAGGGGAGTGAGGACGAGGTCGATCACTTTATAAGTGTTCCCACCTAAGATGATCATACAAGCTAGGTGACTGGCAAAGTTTAGGCCAATGGGACTCCTGGCGATTTCTTTTCCCCTACTTCTCTCTCTTTTTCTTTTTCCTTTTTTCACTTTTTCTTTAACAGACATGTATTGTTTTTATCATGTGAAAACAAAACCGGGCGCCTGGGTGGCTCAGTTGGTTAAGCGACTGCCTTCGGCTCAGGTTACGGTCCTGGAGTCCTGGGATCGAGTCCCACATCGGGCTCCCTGCTCAGCAGGGGGGTCTGCTTCTCCCTCTGCCCCTCCCCCCCATGCTCTCTCTATCTCATTCTCTCTCTCAAATAAATAAATAAAATCTTAAAAAAAACAAGAACAAAACCAAATCCCCATTAAAAAACCTTTTTAACCAACATGAAGTAATGCCCTGATTCTTAAGATCTTTGCCTCCATAATAAATTTTGTCCCCCAGCCCCTTGATGTTTAGAATTTAAGTGAGAATCCCAAGTTATACTTTATAATGAGACTTTCACCAAGTAATTGGCATTTTTAACCTTCCGTCAAAAACCCTTTGTTCTGGACACCCCACAGGACGCGAACAGCAGGTGATGCCCCACGTGCCAGGATGGCCCCGCTCTTACCGTTATGGGTCTCCATGGCACGTTCTGGACACACAGCTGAGCCCTCTGGCCCCACACACCAGTACATGCTGGGCAGTCGCCGAGACATGCCAGCCATCAACTCTTGGGTGACTGCTCTCCAAGTCAGTCCTGGCCAGGGTCACCGCCACCACTGCTGTTCGGAGGATGGACTAAGGGGCAGACACACAGTCATGGCCGAGCAGGAAGCTGTCTCATTCTGCTGGTGAAAAACATCATAAAATCAGAAAGTGTTTTCTTAATTGCCAAGTCCCTTCCTGTACCCTTGCATACATTTACTATTTATATATTGCACCTTGGTATTCTTCTCCTTGGCAACATTCCTCCTCACATTGCATCTGTCTAGCCACGCCCAGTCTGGTGGGGGCCGTGAAAGGACAGAGCTCCCCCCACCTCACCTTGCACCCCATGGCTCATGTCTACTTAAAAAACAGTCTCGAGGGGCGCCTGGGTAGCTCAGTCAGTTAAGCGTCCGACTCTTAACTCTGGCTCAGGTCATGACCCCAGGGTTGTGAGATCGAGCCCCACACTGGGCTCTGCAGTGGGTATGGAGCCTGCTTAAAATTCTCTTTTCCTCTCCCTCTGCCCCTCATCCTTGTGCATGCTCCCCCCCCCAACAAAAACAAAAGACCAGTCTCGAAGCAACCCCAACAATTGCAGACACCCACTGGTAAAGGGTTCATTATTCAATCGATACATAAACGTTGTCAGTTGCCCAGCGACACCAATACAACTAAATGGGGTTTCTGCTTTCAGAGGCTCACACTCAAAGCTAGGGTGGGGCACACACCTAATAGCTGATCACAATACAAGGCCTTCCCTTTGTCCAGGACAAAGTCTTCCAGAAACCCAGAGGCAAGACTGTAATCGCAAAGAAGCGAGCAGGCAACCATCCCGAAGAGAAGGGGTCTGGAAGGCGTTGGTACTGGTTATGAAGACAAGTCCGTCTGAGCCCTGGGGGATGACAGGAAGGAGCCTCACACATTCTGCCTGCCTGGGTACATCTGGCCATGGCTCAAGGCATTTCTGATTGTCACAACTTGGGGTTTGGGGTGCTACAGGTATCTAGCGGGCAGAGGTCAGGTTCATTACTGAACATCCTGTAATACACAGAGCAGCCACCCACAACAGAGAATTATCTGGCCCGAACAGTTCCCATTATCTGGAGAAACTCTGAGTTTGATTAAGATTTATCTCCCCAAACAAACAAGGCTGTGATAACTGCTGAACCAAGGTGTTGCTCTCTTATGCCAGGCTCCCAAAGAGCCTGCGGCAGGGGGTCCCCAACACAGGTGCCCCCCAACACAGGTGCCCATCCTGCTATGATGATTAAATTTCCAGAACTGCCTTGAGGACAAGACCCAGGTCCAGCTCAGGCCTGGCACGGGATCACAATGGGAGGGGGTTACTATGTGAAATGCGTCTGTTTCTATTAGTGTTTACGGAGGGTCTGTACTATACTAAGTACAGGGTCATTAGCAACTATCCTCTGAGACAGATTAACTGAAATGGAGAGTGATACACCGTAGTAAAAAAAAAATCAAGGTCATGTAAATCATGCCCAAGACAATACGGAAAGGAAGAAAGGACAATCTGGCCATCAAAGGCTTGGCCTGTCTCTGTCACATGTCAGCACAGTGTGACTTCAAGCCGAAACTTACGAGTGTCTCAGTTTTCCCATCTGTTAAAAATAGACATGCACCCTCTCACCCAGGCGACCTCGCAGGGCTGCCGTGTGATTTGAAATAAGGTAAAATTTCCGGTCACTTTCTATAATAGGGCCAGAGGTGGTTCTCACCTACAGTACCAGCGGGAGGCCTGGGAGACTGTCTGATTAACAAGCTCAGAGTATCAACGCTGGAGGGCAGACACACTGTCTCCCCACTGAGCAGGTTCTAGAAGGTGCCCTGAACAGTGTGGGCGCTGAGCAAGTTACAGAATAAGGCTGGGAGAGCACTGGAACTTTCTCATCTTAGATCCTGGAAATCAGGCCCAGGTAGGCTGTACTCCCACAGGCAGGGGAAGGTCAAGGAGCTAGGAAACCCCTCCCCCAGAGGCCATGTCCATTACGATCCCCCACCTTTCTGAACTAAAGAGTGAGAGGTTTCAGCAAACCATACATAGGAAAACCTGTGTTTGGAGTATGGGAGCCTGAACAATCCAAGGAGGAATGATCAATCTGGACAAAATTTAGGAGACCATCAAAGCTCTCTAAATTGTAAAATCTGGTTAGGAAAACCAACTTGAAACAAGAACATGGAAAAGCAGCAAAACCATCTCTGTTTTAAACTAAAGGCTCCAAATCCTACAGTAACATTCAGAAACCAAGGAGCACGGTGGCCATCTGCTTTCAAACACCTCCTAAAATCAGCTACCACATCTACCTAACAACACCTTAAAAAAATCCAAATGCTAGTAGATGTTTCTTCTGAAAACAGAAGTGTCTTACCATAGAATGCTTTTAAGTTAAAAAAAAAAATCTTTAAAATATTTTAGGCCAACCCTTGCCCAGCACTTTTGTTCCCCTTTTCATTTTCAGTTTCCTTTTGAAAATCTCTTTACCGATGGAGGCTTTTACGACTGGTGCAGTTTTTCAATTGTAATTTGTATGTTGGCTGAGACTCTAAGGTTTTAAAATGAGGTGACTCAACTTTTGCTTAATCTTTGCCCTCCAACGGATCTTTGCTTCCTCACTCTTCTTTTGGGTCCAGACCCATGCAACAAATCCTGGTTGCAAGTTACACGTCTTGTTTTCATTACGGTGTATACATCCTTAAGAGGGCTTCAAGAGGTTTTCTGTTGTGATTATTTTAATACCTTTTAAAACCTCACCCATTTTTCGTTTGCCAACTCTGTATATTTGCATTAATGAATAAACCTGAATACTTAATGAAAAATAAAGAAAAGGGGAACCTGACATTCACTGGGCAAATGTTTCTACTCCACCGCTTCTATGAGGACTGAACTCCACAAGTTCATGAAACTTACAGCTGGTGGGGAAGGCACAGTTAAGTAAGTGCTTGCTACAAAGTTTCTGACAGAGGAGAAATATAGGAGACCCAGGACCTACTCACCTCTCTTTTCAAGAGGCTGGGAAAGGATTGCCAGTACCAAAGGGCTAGAAGACCCTTGCAAATGAAGCATGTTAGCAATGCTCATCTTATCCAGTAATTTTTTGAATGAAAAGCATGGTAGAGATGGTTGGTCCACAGTTCTCCATATCCCTTTGGCACTACTAGCCTCCCCTGATCAGTTACTGGCTTGTCTACAAAATGTGTTTAATGGATTCATAGACATCAAAATATCGAGGAGCTGCAGACAAGAGAAATGTCTCAGTCCCAGATGAACACCCAAGGGTTTGGGAACAGAAGCCCTTCGCGAGTTTGAAACCAGAAACAAGTTACGACTGTCCATTAGCCATTCTATCCCTGTGCCAGTGTGTACTAGGCACCTCTTAGTTCTGGGACTGAAGATGCAGCGGTGAGCAATGCTGGTGCCTAGGAACGGTCTCTGGACCCTGGAGCTCCAGTAGAGACTGCCAGGCAATTAAAGGAGAGAGCAAACCAATGAAGAAGGACCATAATACCATTGGAGACTCCAGAAGGACCGTGAGCGAGGGATGTGAGAAAGAGGCTGGGCTTAGTGGGGGGGTGTCAGGCCATGTGAAGAATCAGGGGTCAACACTGCAGAGACCACATGCTGGAGAGCAAGATGGGCCAGGGTGGCCGGTGGGGGGGGTGGTGGTGGCAGGAGCACTGGCCAGCTGGTTGATGATGCCAGACCCCATATCAACCGAGGGAAAGGAGGTGTCCTGGATTTCATGCCAATCACAAGGAGAAATTATTGCAGAGTTCTAAGCAGAGGGCTGACACATTCTGATTCACCTATTAAAAAAAAATCACTCTGGCTGTCAAATAAAGAACTGGAGAGTGGAGAGGGAAGGACTGTAATCATACCGGAAATGGATGCTGGTACCCTGGACTACGATGGAGACTGAGAGAAAGAAGGGTTGGACCCACACAGGTAAGCCCAACAGAACTTGCCAACAGATTGAGTTCAAGGAATGGGGGTATGAGATACAGGAAAATTCCCAGCAACTGAGCTGACTATGGGCCTATTCCCTGAGATGTGGAAGCTTGGGGGAAGGAATGTTCGGCTGACCCCAAAACCTCCTTTAGGGACAAGTCAGGTGTGAGGTTTGTATGTTTTTAACTTAATTTTTTTATTCTTCAGGGACAGAAGCAAAAATAAGTAGTCAAATGACAAGAGGCATTTAATGTTAATGTATTCCAAACCCATGCCCATTCTCGTTGTCCCTTTAATGTCTGGGTACTTTGTCACAATGCCGAGTGGCTTGCAAACTATAAAAAGAGGGTATTCAGTGAGAGCCTCCCTAAAAACTTAACCGCAGGCTCCTGTTTTCTCTACCTCTCTGACCCCTGCTGATGTGTTTGGGGAAAAAACTTCCTGGCCTCCAAGTGTGCGGGGACAGGCTGGGCTGGCCAGAGGTCCCCAAATTCTCCCCCCCCCATCTCCCTCTGGCCTCCAGCCTTCCCAGGCTCCCCTCCTTGCCCCGTCCCGGACCTCACTCATCTCTGCACCCCTGCCAGGCAAGGTGGCAGAGATGGCGGGTTTTACCGGGACCTGGCCAGAGCCGCGTCCGGTGGGCAGAAGCCCGGCCCGGGCTTTGCGGGGGGGGGGGGGGGGGAGGGGGGGGTGGGCCCCCCCCCGGCGGCCCCCCCCCCCCCCGCGGTGGCCAGAGATCCCGGGCAGTGCCCCCCCCCGGCACACACGCACTCACACTCACCCGCACACTGGCGCGCTCACACTCGGCCCGCGCCGGGCTGAAGGAAACCTGTAGACGCCCTGGCGTATCTTCCCGACTTTTGTTTTTTGCCCCTGCTCCCCCGGTCCCGGTCCCGGCCCGCGCGGGGTTTCGGGGTGGCCCTCTGGGGCCCCGCACCCTCCCCCACTCGGCGGGCCCCGGAGGCCGCGGGGCCGCGAGACGGGGACCGCCCGCGCCCTCGGTGCTCCCAGCCCCCGCCACCCCACCAGGCAAGGGCCACCTCGGGGGAACACGCGGCCGCCCCGAGAGCGGGCCTGGGCTGCGGGGGGCCCGGGGCTCCCCGAGACCCGGCGCAGGAGGCAGCCAGGCCCCCGGGCGGGGCGCGGGCCGGACGGGCGCTTACCTGCGGCGGCGGGGGCGGCGGCGGCGGGGCAGGGCCCGGGGCGCCTGGGACGCGGGGCTGGGCGCGCGGGGCCGGGCGCGGCGGACACCAGCGGGCCGGGGCCTGGCCGTCCCCCTGCCCTCCGCCCCCTGCGCCTCCGGCCGCGCGCGCCGGGGCCGGGCCGGGCCCAGACGCACTTCCTCAATCCTGCGGCCCGCGGGCGGGCGGCGCGGAGAGCGCGCAGGGAGAGGATCGGCCGCAGCTGCTCCGGCCCGCGACGGGCACGGGGAGGGGGGCGGGGATCTCTGTGGTGGCCCTCCTCAGTTTCCCTAGCCGAAAGCCGGAGGTGCCCAGATGCACCGCTCCCGCCTCGGGGAAGCCGGGGCCCGTGAGCCCTTGTAGCGCGAGTTCTCCTCCAGGTTTGGGTACCCTGCTCTGTCCTCGCGGGGCAGGCGCGGCGACAAGATTGGTCGGTTCGCAGCTCAGCCCAGCTTTCACTGCCCCTCGGCTCTGCTCGGCGGGCCAAATCCAACGATTAACCTCTGACTCGTATTAGGCGTAGACTCACAGTAAATATTTAAAAATCAGGGAATATTCGTTTATGTACGATTCCGTATAGGGCAGTATAGAAACATATTTTTAAAGGTTTCGTATTTTGCGAACTGTGCCCCTCCCGTCACATGAAGTTATTTAATTATGGATGTATGTATAGAGATGTCACTATTTGGTGAATCATTTTAAATTGTGTAGGGTGTTTTGGGCGGGGGAGTAGATAACCCAGGGCGGAATGTTGGCAATTGGTTATGTTTCGACTTAATATAAGTATGTTCATCACACCACTGAGGCCATTATCCGAAGGCAGATCATAGAGACGCACGTCCATGCTGCGGGCAGCCATCAGATTTGGCTCCACGTGCCAACCCCAGAAAGGGAAGCCTGCTCAGAAAAAAGCAGATGGTTCTGCAGCCTGGCAGGACCCGCGCACTAGACTCTTCTCATGTAATGTTGGGACTGGAACCTTCCCAGGATTTAGCGCAAGACGGAGACAAATGCCCACCACCCTCACTGCCATTTCACAAAGGCCGGGCAGACGCAGGGCCCCCGCACGACCCCCGCACGACCTCGCGGGCGCTCTGAGCAGTGGCCCCTTGGCAAGGGCACCACCGGGCGGCTTTGCTTTGCTCCCAAGAGGCCTCCAGCTCTCCTGCCACGGAACGCCCTTGCAAAAGGGTGGGTGCGGTTTTGCAATCCTGTCCTCAATACTTCGGCCCGAATTCCAGTACTCAAAAAGCAGCAGTGTGATTGCTACCGAAAAGTCCCTAATAATTTGCAGGGCGTGGCGTCGCAGTGCTGAGTGAGCCTGGCAATCGCGGCGGGGCGCCTCCAGGGCGCGCGGCCGCGCCATCTAGCGGCACCGTGAGGAACAGCATGCCCACTGCTCGGGCGGACACCGGAGCTCCTGTGGCTGATGAGGCTGGGGCAACTCAGCTTCCTTTTTACATGAGTTTGGGAATAGGCTAGGGAATGTCTCCAATGTAAAAAAACAGCCGAGTGGACTGTTTTGAGCTGGTTGCATCCCAGCATTTAACTCTATTCATTAGGCATTAGTTAATCACAGGTTTGCATGGGAAAGTTATTACAGGTCAGTTAAGATCTCTTCCTGCTGCTTCTTGCCCCCCCCCCGCCCCCCTCCCCGCCTCCCGCACCCGTGGTCCTCTAGCTTTTGCTCTGCATACCCAGGTTCTCATCATCTCACGTTGGAATGACCCCTTCTAAGGTGGAATCAACTGGAAGCTACCTCCTCAACCTAACATTTCTGCCTTCTGAAGGCCTAGGGGCTGATTGCTACCCTCCCACCCTACCCCCACTGCCTTCTAGTCATTCCTTCAGCTGTAAACTTAGTTTCCTCAGACATTCTTCCCTGACACTTTATAAAAAAAATCCCTTATCATCCACGTTTAAGCTCAAGTCAGATGCATGTAGGAGCAAGGACAGTAAAAATTCTTTGTCCATTATCGGGAGAAGCTAAGGCATTCACAAGGGTCCACTTTTAGAGAATGTGCCCACCTCCTGTGCCCCCCCCACCACAAGCACACAGGTGCGCGCGTGCACATGCCCATACATGACAGCCAGTCTGTGTCCCCGGAATGGTTCCCTTCAGAGAGTAAACCAATTGAAGGAAAAGGCCATTTTCCTAGAATGTTCTGCAAACATTTAGATTGAGAAATTAAAGTTTTCTAAATAAATACATACGTAAGTGCATACATTAAGAGAGATCTGATCCAAGCCTCCTTTACGTGTTCTCTTAAAAGGTGGCACCTTGCTGCCCCATAGAGTGATCAAGGATGAGTAACATCAAATACACAGGTGTAACTTGATGGACCTAACCAAGTACAAGGGATGTTCTTGATCCAACCTCAGCATCAGCTCATGGCTTGGTGATTGAGGCTTCTTAGAAACTTAAGGTAGGCTAAACCCAAACACCCAGATCCCTGTGACAAAAATGGAAACGTGTGCACACGATAGCAGGATGCAATATTCTCCCTAAACCCCTGGGCAGTCCTCCCCACCATCTTCCGGACTCACCCACTCACTAGTAAAAGGACACTCGGGCAGCTTAGGTGACAGCTTACCCTTCACCAACTAAGATGCCGAGCCTCTGAGGCCGAGCTCCCTGCCTGCTCAATCCACAAACCCATGCCAGTGTGTTTCACGCTCAGACTAAAGCTGAATTTGAATCCTAAGCTATCAATACTGCTTTTTTACAAGCCATTTTGTACATAAGCTCTGAGAAAGAGAAAGGTCAGCCACAGAATTAAAATGAGTTTTGTTGTTAAATGAAAAAACGGAATGTTTGTCAAATATCCGATTTTATTTTATCATTGTTGTATTGTCAGACACAATCTGTAGTTGGGGTCAGAATTCCGAGGCCAATAGATTGTTTTTTGAAACCATACCACAGGAATAAACCTTAAAAGAAGTGAAATCTAATACTATATAGATTTCCATTTCTAAATACAGTATATTACAGAAGGTTAGATATACCACCTCTGTTTTTACTTACAACTATAAAAAGATACATTAACTATACCAATTATAAATAATGTAGCATTTCATATTAAAGGCATTATTGTACAATGAGAGAATAAGAACCCTCTAATGTATTACTAGGTTAGTGTCTATAGTTGCTTGAGATAAAATCCTGAAAATTCAGTGTATGAAGTCAACTCCTGACTTAGCAAGTTGCTGACAGTTTAAGTGATAAGTGTTAACTGATGTAGAGAAGGTGAATTGCATATTGCCTATTTCTGATAAGAATGACAACCCCATTCCATATGGGACTTTCTTTCATCCATACACTGGTTTTGATGTTTCTTTTATTATTGCCCTCCCCCAATTTAATTCTATAAACATAATTTAATTCCCAAATATAAGCACCATCAGAAAAGTAACTAGTTAATAACAGTGAAAGTATCCAAATAATGCAATTATGTTTGGTTTTGTTTTTAAAAGCGATCAGGGGAACACTTTAAAACTTGGGATTGCACAGCATTTGCACATATAAAGAGGAAAAGAAAAATTCACAACATGTTAGTGCAGTACTCAGGCCACTTTAGTAGGAGACCCAGTTCTTCCAGGGAGTCTGGGTGTTATTTGTTAATTAATCATTAACATCAAAATAGGACTTTAAAAAAACCAGGCTGTATTAAAACAATAGCCTTTCCAGTTGTGTATGTTTTGCTAATCTAAAATAGATAACCAAACTGGAGACAAAGAGAGCTACACAGGCTGATCATAAACCATTAATGCAAGTGGTAGAAATTCATAATTTGTAAAAGCGAATTATGGCTCTGATTTGTAAAATGCGGTTGCCATGCTGTCGTCATGTCAGAGTACTGAGTCCTCAGCAGTGATGGTAACACTAGGGATGTTCTCTGCCTAAGAAAGTGCCTTGGTTAGGGTAGACCGTGACATAGTTTTAGAGAAGCATGCTGGGCACTGATTAGGTCATACTCCAAAAGGAGTTTGGGCTTTAAGCTGAGTCCCATGGTCAATGTCAAGAGGCAGTCCTTGAAGACCCACGCCCTTTCACACCCAAGTCCTTCAGTACCTTTCCACGGTACTTGCTTCCCCAAAGCTCCCCACACTGGGTCCTCACAATCCTGTTTTTGTTTGGTTTTGAATTTAGTCCTGTTTCTTTCCCACTAACTGGTGGGAGGGGCTTGTTCTGTGGGCAGGTAACCCCGAGGAGGCCACAGGTGCAGGGCCCTGTTTGCAGAACAAGCCGGGCGTTTTTCCAAGTTCTTATTGGAGTCAGAGTCGGCAAAACATTTTTAAGTGACCGCTGGAGACTTCAAATACCACTTCCTGTTGGCCTCGCCCTGAGCCTCTTCACTGTCGCTGGGGGACCTGGTTGAAAGGGAAAAACGGAAATGACCACTAGCTCCATCCCCAGGCAGGACTGCAATGCCACATACACAACATATTGGTCAATGAAACAGGAGTGTGAGAGGAAAACTGAAATCGTTCAAATCCAGTAGATTTAAAGTCTCCAGAGCAGAGTAACCCGGGAAGGCGGGAAATGCAGGTTTTCTTCGGCAAAAGTTCCATCTGCCACATTCAGCTGTCAAAGGTTTGAGGAAGGAGCCCGCCTTTCCTTCAGGAGCTCTTGTCATTGAGTTTGATGGTGACAGTTTTCACTTCTGTGTATTCAGCCAGCGCATATTCACCACTGCGATCACAGGAAA